GGGGGACCTCTCCGGTGGGAGGTCGGACATGTGTTGCTGGTGCAGTACGAACGATCAGGCGATGAGGTCTAATGAGGCGATAAAGCGTTGGACGACGAAAGAGACGATGAGCTGGTTGTTTGCGCTTGTTGACGAGTGGGCGTTCGAGAGAAAGAGATTGATGCTCTGGTCAGGCTTTTAGCCTGGCGGTTTGTCGCGCTCTCCAAGGGTGGTTCGAGGCGGATGATCTCCGCCGCATCACCTTCGTTTACGTTCCATCCATGCTGCGGTGGGATATCCATGGTGAGGCACACAAGTAAGTCACCGAACTCAAAGTCAGGGTTGGACATCGGAAGACGGACAATTCTATGGATGCGCTACGCTCTCGAGCTGCGCACTCAGTCCTGGATTTGTGGAGTTCCACTTTCCAGGATCCAACCTACCGAGGCTCTGAATTCTTAGAGCTTCAACAGCCTGATGGGCGGCCGCTACAGCCATCGTACCTCAATGGGGGACCTTGGCTTTCAACCTTCGGACACAGTATCACTGAGTTCGCTCGCGTTTGCTGGTGTATAACTGGCCACACGCCCATTGGAGCGTACTACCAACGCTTCAAGATCAACAAGCCTCATGGCTGCACTTGCAGGGCTGCTCTGCAGTCCTGTCAGTATATCCTCTTTCGCTGTCATGATAGATATTCTGTACACTGTCCCCAGTTTCTCAGGGATATTGCATCATTTATGAAGTACAACCCTACGGCATTTAGGTTCAACCGAGACCCCTCAGGTGTCGGATAATCGCTGCAGGCAGGGTTATTCCTCCTTTTGGGGGATTTAGGGTGAATTAACACTACGGACCTTAGGGTTCGGCGACCCGCGCCTGCGACATCTCTTCTGTGCAGGCGGTCAACCTTTATTGGTCGATCGCAGCACTGCTGACCTTCTGTGTCTGGTTTCGGGCAGGCGCACCTCTGGCTTGTCGGCCTCAAGACACCCTGCCACCTCCTGGGTGGTGCTTTTCTTATTTCATTTGCGCTGTGTGGCCTCCAAACAGTGATCAACGACTTTGGGGCGTAGCGGAACCTCAATGGTTTCCTCCCCTTATCCCAATGCACCGTTTTCGCGAGGTGGGTTGCCCTCTGGGGAGTTTCAGCGTTTGAGCCCAAAGGGTCTTGGTTGGGGGGGCGGTCGTCCTTTAGTGGTTAACTTAGTAACCTAGGTACTCCAGGTCATGCAGCGTGCGT